CATTTTCAAAATTTAACCCCCCCCCCCCACCCCCCGCCTCCCCCCCCCCCATTGTTCCAGGGCAAACAAAGGAAGAAAGCAAAGTAATGATTCCTGGCAGAAGTATTTACCCTTTCAGACTTTGATCTGGCGAAGCCCTAGCGTTTAAGTATTCACCTATGTGTCGGTGAGACTTGCAGAAAGCCATGCACAGGCAGATTGCTGGCAATGCCTGGAAAGAAAAGGCTGAACTGGAGCTGTGCTGCTGGTGTGGGCTCAGCCACCACATCTGTCTCCTCCTGGCTTCTCCTTATCTCTTTCTGGATCTCCAGGGGTACGGATTTTGCCCTTCTTGCAGGAGTGAATGAGAACGGGGTAAGTTGTTCAACAAGACCAAGTGGGGTTGATGGGTCTAAAAGCAGAGATTCTGATGGTGAGTCTGTCATCACGCAAACTAATATTGGTCATAGAGATGTTGGACATGAATTATTGCTTGCTCTTTCTCTAAAAAAAAACCTGGCCCTGCACTTGTCCTCCTGGTAAAGAAGAGGACAAAGATTTGAAAGATATGAAAGCATCGAATGGAGGGACTGCACTCAGTCTTCTGGACAGGACCCCTTCAGCCTTTGTCTGAGGAGTGTTAAAAAGGAGTTAGTTGCAAGGTAGCTCATTTACTAAAATAATGCTCTGTGTGCGTCTGTGCACACGTGCGCTGATAGAGATGGGTAAAAGACCTCTCCTGTAAATGTGATTGCAATCCAGATGCATGTCCTGCACCAGAGACAGTCCTTCAAACCCGGGTACTTCTCCTCACAGAGCACTGACCTAGCCCATCTCCAAGGATGCCAACAGCTGCTCTCTGTACACACTGTCCCATAAATGATGCCATCTCATTTCTAGGATATCTCCCTTCCTTCTGGAATACTCTTCCAAGAGAGTTTTGTCACATGTCCCTTGGCTGTGGGATTGGGGCTGTTCCCAGTACTAGAAGGGTTGCTATCATTGAAGTTTTTTTTTTCCCCTTGCAAGAGATGGTAGGCACATGGATGAAAATAATGTAGAAAAGGTAGTTCTTGTGGTGTTTCCCCCCCCAGTTGTAACAGGATGCAGAAGGTGCCTGAAGTTCCACTTTCTCCAGGTCTTTCATTCAGCCAAAGCCATTAAAATATAATCTGAGAGCAAACATATTTCTTCCCATGGTTGTTTTGGGTTTTTTTCTTCTTTCTGATGAGATACTATGAGTGTGGGCACATGGGAGGCAAATGAGTTTTGTAGATCGAAGAACAATAAAGTTGACACAGATAAATTTTTTTTTTGGGGTGGGGGAAGGGGAAGGGCGAGGGGTGTTCTACAACATTCTGGTAAGTGTTGGCTGTGGACTTGACCAGATCAGGGTTGAAAACAAGGGCTCTGTATTCTTACTGTGCCAACCACTAAGCCAAGAGATGAAGCACAAAGACCTTCCAGAGGAAACCATCACAGACCTTTGGGAAAATGGAAACCTGGTTCCTTTCTGTAGTCACTGAGTAGAAGGCCACTGTCTCTCCCACACACTTTGTGGCTGTCTGTCTGAAAGGATATGATACACAAAGCACAAGCTGGAAGCGCCACAAGGAAAAGAAAAAAACCCCTTTATCCTGCACTAAAATGCTCTGTCTGCTGAGTGGTTGAAAAGCCATGAACAAGAGTCGGTTACAAGTTGTCAAAAACTCTTGCACATAGGGCTTATAAGGGAACAAACCAAAAATACTCACTCATTCACTTGGGAGAGGATTGGCGTACACAGGGCCACGGTAAGGAGGATTTTGTAGGGGTGTGGGGCTGTGCTAGAGTTCACAGCTAAGGATCTTGGGAGCAGGGTCAGATGGGGAATGAAGAAATTTTAAAGCCCTCTGTACCAGAGTCACAAGGCCTGGAGGGTTACACGCAAATGTTTCATCTCATAATAACACCCAAAAGCATTGCTGGAGTTGCAGGACCTTGGGTACACTTGGCACTGAAAGTGACTTTGAGGTCACTGTCAGTGTGATTGTGTGTGAAATTCTGGCTTTACTGAGACTGACGTGAGTATTGCCATTGATTCCAGCAGGGTTAAAAATTCACCCGCTCTCTGTGGTTCATCCTTTCCCCTCCCAAGCATTTATTATTGTCAACTGATCACAATC